CCACCCATCCAAAAGGTACATGAATGGGTAGTAAAAGGGATTACCAAAGTGTTTGATAACAATATAAAAAAACAGGCCTTTGTCACCCTGTACCTGTTCTCATTATTAAGGATATGCTGTTCAAGAAACAACTATGACTAAAATTTATGTATATGCGAGAGCATGTTGACTAATGCAAATAAGGGGAATCAATTCCAACGTATGATGGGGTTAGTTGAAGTCTCCCCAAAAGATCTTTTTCTAAGTAATAGTACATTTGTTCATTATATATGGTTATAAACTCTGGGTGCTCAAGGAGTGATTTACTTCTCTCTACTTTTTTCTTTCTTCTTTGGATTTCTCTTTGCTGTTAATTGACCTAGAACAGTGTAGGGAGATTAGCCCCAGACCTGTGTCATATCTAACAGCAAAATCTAAACAAGTATTACTTACAGGGGTATATTGTAGGTGAGAGGAATAAGAGTGTTGGATGGAAGTCCAGAAATGTGGCCCATAAATGGCAGTACAGGGACAGCATAAATGCCTGCTCCACGATTCATCTCTTCTTGATTTTGTACAGGAGCTAGCCCTGGAACAATTGCAGGGTACATCATTGGAAACATTGGAAAATCACCATTTGGAAAAGCCGGGAAACCAGAGAAAGCTGGAATCTGCAATAATAAAGCCACAAAGAAACTACTGTGAGAACTACTGTGAGAACTACTGTGAGACAAGACTGCCTAGAAATGCACCTAAGACGCATGAGAATGTAAACTTATTATGGACCATAACACTTAACATTACTCTCCGTTTCTTTTCTTCACAAGTAGTCAAAAATAAAGTTTTGCCATGACCACCAGGTCCACCACCAACATTCTTTTTTCATGGATTACCCAACACCATAATGTCTAAGGGATCTACCTTTAAAGAGCTCACAATGTCAATGGGGGAAAAATAATCTAAATAACCCGAAAGGGTAGAAAAATGAATGGAGACATCTCCTGGGCAGCAAGGAATGGAAAGGAGGTATTCCACCATCTACTTGCCTATTTCAACACAAAATAGCTACAGAGAGTTCGAACACACATAAATCAAGCAGCTCCTGACCTCTTTCCTCATTTCAATCTGCTTCAGACAAAAAGGAATACCTCACGGTCTGGAAGAAACCTTTTGTTTCAATTGAATAGAAATTTCAAAATAATTAAAAACTTGACAGTTTTGATACTCATAGTCAAATGGAATTGAAGAATGCATTTTTCCCAAATAAAATCAAATGAAGCATGTACTTCAAGTCTTCAATCAAAGATGAAGACTTCCCTTCGGAAATAGTTCACCAAACATGAATCAGCTTAGAATAGGCAAGAATCACTTCCTAGACCCAACAGCAGCATCTCTACCTCAAAAGGACAAGCAGCTAACTAACCCTTCAAACCCATGTCCGTTAACATCATCTTTAATCTGCTTGTTTTCCTATAAGTGGTGCATTAAACCTCAAGTTGGATTAAACCCATCTCGATTAAGGAGTTTTAATAACATGGTATCAATTCAATTTTAATTTCTGGATCCATCAAGTGCCAGTTACGATAAAAGTCAAGCCAGTAACATGAAAATTGACGCAGACTTTTAAGGACCCAACATGGAAAAACAAACAGAATACGATCTGGATTCATATACCAACATGATTACCCGATAGAATTAGATAAATTTGAACTTAAAAGCTCAGGAAAATGAACTGCAGGAGAAAGTAATAATAAAAAGTAGAGAACTTTGAACAGACCTGGAATTGTTTTGCAGCGTCTTCCTGAGAACTCTGAGATGAAGATTGTTGTTGTGAGGAGGACGATGCCATTTCGGATTCTTCCGCCACCGCCATTACAGAGAGATCGTCTTCTTCGAGCTTCTTCGAATCACTTCTTCTGAATTTACGAGTTATTTATTTACAAGAGAAACTTAATACGTGCAGTTTTTGTTTCTTCTCCAATAGGAGCACGCCACGAACACGATGTAACACGTGGAAATTATAAGTGTTTTTTTTTTTTTTTAATTTTAATTGTTAAGGGTTCATCGTAGGGAAACTATAGCTTATCCTGTACTTTCAGAAAGATAAGAGTTTAGTCCTCAATATTTGCATTATCAAATTAAACCTCACATTTTAAAGAGTTTTTTGTTTTGCAATCCGGGTAAGAACCACTAGATGCAGAACAACTCCTAACATTAAGAAATCTGTCCTCGTTTAATAGTTTAAGTTGTACAATCTAAACTATGCTAACACTTTTTCTTTTTCTTTTTTTTTGTATTTTAAAGAGATTGAGGCATAATCTTGTTAGCCTTACTTGCAATTTTGCACATGTAAAGGCTTTACATACTATGTTTTCTAACTGAAGGTGCCTTAGTTACATCTCCAATTTCCATTAGACCTTCCCTAGATTTTTTTTCTTCTTTTCTCTCCTCAAAGGACTAAAATGGTGATTATATTTGAATTTTTTATTGGTGTCAATTGGGGGTGTGACCACTGAATTTGTATTTAATTTAAATGATATTTATAGTTTTTTTAATAGATAATTATAAAATCTAAAAATATTAATTTATAAATTGATTTTAATTTATTAAGTAATAAATGTTAAATGTTTTATCAATTATTAACTATTCTTAACAATCAATTCAAATGGCAACGATTTAAGTAACTCAGTGGTTATCTTTTTCTATTAAAAATAAAAAATCTTGAGTTCAAACCGCATGATATGCGGGTGAAGTGAGATAAAAGATAAGAGATGATTACTTCTCATTGTACAACTAAAATAAAAAAAAAAAATATTTAAATAAAATTAATATTTCAATTCAAATAAAATTAATTTTTTTTTACATAATTTTAGTAGCATTAACCATTCCATTGGTGGCCACAA